TAATGGTACTATAAAAATGAAAAAAACTGGGAAGCACAAGTAATGTATTTAGACAGATTGAGTAATTAAGCACTTAATCCATAACTCAATTTCCTTATGCTAAAAATTAGAAGGTAACATGCCCAGGCTGAGAAACTAATGCCCCTTACACATTACGTTTCTCCTCTTTCTTTTAAAGGCTCCTCCCCCTATTCTAATTGTATTTTATTTCAGCTCTGCTTCTCTACTTTGTTAGAGAAGGCCTGTCTTTGACATCTCATTCTAGGTAAAAATATTTGTCATTCATTGTTACTAAGGGTATCTTGGCCTTTAATGAATAAGAAAAGTCCCATAGTGGATATTATTTAGAAGTTAAATTTCAGTACTTAAAAATAATCCTTTCATTATTATTGTTCCATTAGCTGAATAGACTTGCATTAGAACTTTCCCCTTTCTGTTTCCTTCTGTAAATGGATTGATAATTTCTTTCAAATGGTGGCTACTCAAACAACAAGTGATCATGTTGGGGTGGGGTGGGTGTTGGCGGTTTGTTCTGGTGCCCACCAGCTACCGTTGCCCTGAGCAGAAGCTAACCCTAGGCTGATCTATGGTGAGTTCAGGATTTAGCTTCAGTTTCTATCAAAACTTCAGTTTCAGTCAAAAATAATCTTATCAGTCTGTATATTCATTAGTCAAACATACTTCTTTTATTTACCAGTTTTTGAGAGATTGTGTATCTATATCAGGAGTAATTAAAAGAAAACAATCAGAAATTTAGTCTAAGTGAAAAGTGAAAACAAATTTCTGGAAATGAACCCAAAAAGAACAGTCAGAGTGTTGTTAATAAAATAGCATCGATAATCTCAAACTCCCCATTTTCTACACCACACTGGTTTTTCTAATCACAATATTTTATTTCTTTCTGATATTTTATACTTTCCTGTAGCTTCAAAGTAAATTTTTAAAAAATGAAATAAGGTGGGAATAGAATTTGTGCATTAGTTATTTTGAACTTTTTATGAGGACATTCAATATGCAAGAACAGTAACAGGAATACTGTTACTACACAACTATCCACTGTGTAGAGTCAACAGTTGTTAGCATCTTGCCTTACTTACTCGTATTTCACTTTTCTTTGCTGAATGATTTCAAAGTAAATGAGACATCAAACCACTTTAGCTATAAATCCCTCACATGTGTCTCTAGAAAAATAAGAATATTGTCCATCACAATCTAAGTACTTTTTTTTTAAAGATTTTATTGAGGAATTGGGGGAGGGGAACAGCACTGGGGAATCGGGGAAGGGGAACAGACACATTGCTGTCCTTTTGTTCTTCAGTCTAGTTGTGGAGGATGTCACTTCACTGACCCATGTTGGTATTATCATTGCGCTTTTCCCAGATGAGGCAGTCGCTCACGGGCCATTGGACGGCCTCTTACCACAGCTTAAGGCAGCTTCCAAAGCGCAAGCCAACTGTCGGCCAGCCCCATTGCAGCCTACACCATGGCCAGCGACTCACGACAGCCCAGCTCCAAGTTGAGCTGTTGTCCACCATCTTAGCTATAGAGGGCACGGCGTCACTGGTCCTCACATGTGGGATCCGAACTGGTGCCCTGCTGCTCAGAGCTGGCGTCCCAAGCCAACTCCTAACCAACGCGCCACTTGGCTGGCCCTCTAAGTAATTTTATCATACCTACCATAATTAAAAATAATTTTCTGACACTATTTAATACTTAGATCATATTCAAATTTATAATATCCAGTCCAAATTCTAATACCTAATCTATATTCTTGTGTCTTTTTTAGCTATTTGAGTCTGGATCCAATTAAAGATCACACATTGCAGCTAACTGTAATGTCTCTTAAATCTCTTTTTTCTTTAAAAAAACTAATTAAATATAACATACATACAGAAAAATTCACAAAATCATAAGCAAACAGCTTGCTGAATTTTTATAAACTAAATACATCTGTGAAGCAAACAGCCAGTTCTGTACATAGAATGTTATCATAATGCCATAAACCCTCCTATGGCCCCCAATAATTTTTAAGGCATAAAATTAGACATTTTTCTTTTACATTTAATAAAGTGTTTTACAACCTGAAGAACAAAGTTCGTAGTGGAGATGTTCATGGTGTAAGTAAAAGAAATACCTTCCCAGCAGGAAACATTTATTTACTGCGAATAATATTCTAAAGTTATTTATTTCGTATACAACATAAAAGTACAATTCAGACATTTCTGTATTTGGCAATTTTTCTTATCAGTCAATAAGTATATTCATCTGACACCATTTTCCCAGAATATATTGAATTCAAGAAAAAAAACCTGCATTTTTTTAAACCATCTGTGATACTGTCACTAGAAATTTTTTTCCAAAGCCACCTATAATAGTACTCATTGTATATTATTAGGGCAGGTTTTTGTTTTGTTTTTTTTGTTGTTTCTTTCTTTTCCTATATATATATATAGTATATATATTTGTGGTAACCACAATATAACTTCCTACTATATTGCTTTTAAATTGATCTCTTAAAGGCCTAATTTGATTCACTATCAATACTAGTAATTATGAGGTTCTACATCCAAAAAAAAGAATTACCAAGTCTATGTAAAAAAATTTTTGCCTCCTTTTTTACTAAATAGGTCAGGTCACAGGTCCCAAGTTAGCATTAAACAAAGTTATTTTAGGATATTGATTCTTTACCAAACAGTATGTTGGTGTTTAAAATAATTGAGAAAGTGTTTGGAAATGTGAAAAACATTTTAAGTTGTAAAACCTAGTCTTAGGGGAAGATACTTGTTCTATAGTAGGGTGTATACAGGACCTTTAAGTGTACTACAATACATGTAATTTTTTTGACAGGTGTTATAAGCAAAGTCGGTAATATTTAGGTTGTTAATTTTGAACAGCTTGAATATCATAAATAACTATGGTCGCGTGCTGCTTAACGACAGGATACGTTCTGAGAAATGTGTTGTTAGGTGATTTAGTTGTTGTGAGAATACCATAGAGTGTACTTACACAAACCTAGACGGTATAGTCTACTACTATTATATAATTGTATGGGCTATACTATCATATGACTGGAAGTGTATTCCTTTGTTTACACCAGCATCACCACAAACATGCGAGTCATGTTGCACTACAACATTAGGACAGCTATGGTGTCACTAGGCAATAGGAGTTGTTTTAGCTCTATTATAATCTTATAAGACCACCACTATATATATGTGGTCCATCATTGACTGAACCATTGTTATGCAATGCATGACTGTAGTTATGATGTGCTCATGGTGTGCTGGGCAGCCAAAAGCTCTAACCAGATGTATATACCATACGAGTTTTATAGAACCTTGCATGTCAGTGTCACAGAATTTCTACTGATATCCACTGGCTATCAAGAAGGTTTATAGATAGGTAGTGGTATCATTGTCTTTAGATCGGGTCTAGAATATTGCAAAAAATTGTTAATTTTTCTTATTTTTATTCTCCTGACTACATTGAATTTCCAACATTTTATATGAAATATTTTGGATACCGACAAGGTCACTAATTTGGCAGTGAGTTTTAGCGGAGGCATGATTTATCACTGCCAAAAAAAAAAAGAAAAACAAATCTTGGAAACTAAGACCTATACTTTTGGACTTAGTTTTGTATAAATACGGAATTTTGTATATTCTTAACAGTGAAACCATTTAATCAAAAGAAGAAGCTGATAGCTCTTTTTCCTCCTCCAGTGATTATTCATGCAGCTAAGGTTAACTGGACTGTTATAATTAACGATTCACTACCTCTTGCCTACCTCCTACTCATGCCTCAACATACACATCCTGAAAATACAAAGCTCTTATCGTTCCTATTTAGTTAGAATATATTTTAAATGATTGGAATGGCTCTGTTTTTGGGATTTCAGAAATTCAAGACTCCATGGAGGAAATTTTTTACATCTATGCCGGTCTATGCAATAATTGTTGCGAACTTCTGCAGAAGCTGGACTTTTTACTTATTGCTGATTAGTCAGCCAGCGTATTTTGAGGAAGTCTTTGGATTTGAAATCAGCAAGGTATGTAAGAATTATCTTTATTTAACCAATGCATTGTTTTTGTACTTATAGCAAATATTAAGTTCCTTTGCCAAGATTTTATCTTCTAAATTTCATGACGTAATTCATTTCTATTCAATAATAACTTCCAGGAAACAAAGACTAAGTAAGGTGTTTGAGTGGTTGCTGCATTTACCTGTCTGCTAGAAACTGCTCTTGGTTGTTAAAAATACAGACAAAACCCTCATGGAGTTTACACCCCAGTTGGGGTGGGCAGCGGTGTACCCTTTTCCCTGTAATTAAACATAACTTACTTTAAGTCTCAAGTCAGAGAGAATATACCAGTGAATAAAAAGGTATCTTATTAAGATGGAATTTTATTTATATAATTACCAGTGTAACTCTTTTTCAGTGGTCTCAGAAATCTGCTTGGATAAAGGATTTGAGGACAGCAAAAACATATCTGAAATATCTGAAAGCGTTCTTGTATGTTGTTTATCGAACTTATTCATTTAACAAGAATTCGTTGAACATGATATGCAAAGTTTTGGGTGAGATTCAGAGACAAAACCATGGTTCCTGACCTCAAGAATTTATAGCTTGGTGGTGTAGACACCAAAAAGGGGGGGGGTTATTAATTAACGTACAACATGCTAATGTTACAGACATATTATAGCTATGAAAATATAATCATTTTGAGATTTCTATAAGGATAAAATGAAAATAATAATGCTACTTTATACTTATATAAGGATTTGAAATTTAGAAGATGCTTTCAGACTCATGAACAACCTCATGTGGTTGACAAGGTGAATAACTATCACCATTTCTATTGAACTGATGGGAAACCAGAAACTAGAAAAAGTATTTAAATTGCCTAAGGCCAAACTGGTAATAAATGACAGAATCAAGTTAAAGCCCAGATAGTATGATTTATGTTTAAAGTCCTCCTACTATGCCATTCAAATCCAGGTAAACCATATATTCATTGAAGCATTTAGAGAGTGATTTGTTGAATGCCATCTCTGTGCCAGGCCCTTTGCTGAGACCTGAATACACTTGTCTTGCTGGCAATGGACTGGCCATTTCTCTTCATGTCATTACATAAGTCCAGCTGGGCTCGCTATTCATATTATGTCTCTACATGAAAGACTATCTGAGGCCTGGAACTGAAGAAAACCCGACTTTAGGAGTATCTATTCTAAGAGCTCTTTTGTAATCACTGTTTCTAAGGAAACTGTTTCCTCCATTGCTGAGAAGAATGGCTGCTTTAGATGGGCTCTCTCCCTGGAGCTGAACAAACATTGCAGGGTAGCCTTTGGGAGCTCTGAGAGGTGTTATACTTCTCAACAAAGGCTGCTGGAGTGTGAGTCCATTTTCATAATCTAGGACAAATGTGATACTGAGAGGCTATTAACAAAGTTGGGTCTCATGGGGGAGAGTGAAGGAGCCAGCTGATGTTAATGAAATTGTATGGTCATTCTGGCCTTGGAGCTCCAGTTAATTGAAAATGCTAGAGTAAAAACAATGATATCTTATAAAAACTAAATGCAATAACCAAATGGGTTGATTTGATTAACTTATTATATTTCTAACTAAAATTGTGAAAAAATTCTACACACACAGATTGACTTGAAGATTTTGATTATACTGTTAAAAGAGTCTCCTGACTTATCTGAAAAAATGTGTCAAGGAGATGATAAAGGAAATAGACCATGGACGGTGGATCTAAGCTGACATGGCTCTGAATCCAAGCTCTACAATAAACTATAATAATAATGTAAAACACTTCCATCTGAAATGAAAGAGAGAATTAAATAGCTTGGACATTTAAACTATTTTAGAGTCATTCACTGTCTCAAATAATCATCACAACAACCCAAGTCCATGGTTGTGACGCCACACTATACACCATTGTAAAATAAAACACACTATTTATCTAGAACCTTCAATAGTTTAATTTGAAAGACATATTTATACCAAATAATAAACTTTTATCCAGTACATATAATTTGCCAGGAATTGTGCTTCAAATTATACTTAGTAAAAAACTTCCTTATGTTTATATTTGAAATTCACTGACTCCATGTATGTGGTAATACATGATTAAAATGCATTTTAGTTATACTTCCTGCCTCAATAATGCCTAGAGAACACTGCCTTGCACATAATTATTGGTCAAAAAATGTGTGTTGAATTGATGTGGCAGGTTAGATTTTAGATTGGGCTACTTGGCATGAAATTAATATAGAAACTATATTCCACTGTAAGATAATGTGACTAAATATTAATATTTGACATAGAAAATGCCTAAAACTAAAGAATTGATCTGTATTTTCTGGGATCTTAATATATGAAACTAAAAATAAAACTCATAAGAGATATATACTTAAAGTACAATAAAGTTTCTTTAGCCTTATTATGAATTTAAAAAATAAACTTAAAACACAGCTTCCTCAAGGTTTTTTCAAATGTATTTTCCTCCCTCTCACTGTCTCCCTCTCTGTCTCTGTCCCTCTCTCTTCCACTCATCTCCCTTGCTAATGATAAATTTTTGCAAACATATTTAAGAATATAAAATGTGCACAAAAATGTAAATCACTCTGATAAGATTCAGGATAGTTTATTCATAAACTCAAAAATTTACTGACTCATAGCACAGAAAAAGAAAGTATTCTCTTCTAGAAGATAAAAACAGATCAAAATAAATTTACTTAGCTTTTCCTCTTTATTCTGTGGAAGTTGTTACTTATTCTAGGAATGAGTAAGTGGTCATTTGGAGACAGTATTTTTCCTTCCTTTGTCCAATAAAGTGCTTATGATGGACCCAGAAAACCAAGATCATTAAATTGCCCACATTACTGATGGTCACATATATTTCTCCCCTTTTTATTTTCCATCAGGTTGGCATGCTATCTGCTGTGCCACACTTAGTGATGACAATTATTGTGCCTATTGGAGGGCAAATTGCAGATTTCCTAAGAAGCAAGCAAATTCTCTCAACTACCACAGTAAGAAAGATCATGAATTGTGGTGGTAAGTACATAAGTGATGTAAAGGACATGTTTTTAATTCACAAAGTTCTGATCTACGTGAGTAACTTTTTCTACACATATTAAATATGCAGTTAAATTTGTGCCTTCTTTGTTCATTTCTAATCATTTCCCATCTTCAGATTTTTATAACTCTTAGTTTTAAATAGCCACATAGTGAACTTGGCCTCCTGCTATTGAAACTTAAGGTTGTTTTTGATGTTTTTATTAAAACACAAAGAAGCTTTCAGTAATCTTTATATGTAAATTATTACTGCTATTATTTTTAAGATAGACTCCCTGAAGGGTTTTGCTTGGTCAATAAGTATAAGCAGTTTTAGCAGTTCTGGCTCACTGGAAAAATTTACACCAATTTCTGAAGTGTTTTCATGTGTTTGTTTCTGAAGGTTTTGGCATGGAAGCAACACTGCTTTTGGTGGTCGGCTATTCTCATACTAGAGGGGTAGCTATCTCCTTCTTGGTACTGGCAGTGGGATTCAGTGGATTTGCTATATCTGGTAATATACCTTTTCAAAATTTGTGCTTGTGACATCTGATTTTGGCTGGCAATAAAAGTTTATCTATCTATCTATCTATCTACCTATCTATCTATCTATCTATCTATCTATCTATCTATCTATCTTCCCTCTTTAATATTTTGACTGTTGAGAAATCTTACTCGACACATTTCCACAAGAAAAAAATAATAAAGCATTTAGAAATCCTTATTTAGATTTGTTACTACTCACTTCCTCCTTGCTAAGCCTTCCTTTCGTTGTTGTTGTGGTGGTAGTGGTTGTTAAGAGAACATAGCTCCCCTCCTTTCTGTGAGGGTGAGCACCACATATTAAGTGTTAGACAAGGAATTATATCTCATTTTAATCAATTATACCCCTGAGCTAAATTATCCAAAAGTAGTTATTAAGCACATGCTATGTACCTAATATCTTTTAAGGAGGGTGATGAGTATGGTAGAGGATAGTCTACAGGCATTCACTTCTAAGATGTTTTGGATTCCCAGAGTCAAAATTTGTGTGTGTGTTTCAGGTTTCAATGTTAATCACCTGGATATTGCTCCAAGATATGCCAGCATCTTAATGGGCATTTCCAATGGCGTTGGCACATTGTCAGGAATGGTTTGCCCTATCATTGTTGGTGCAATGACAAAGAATAAGGTAAGATGGGCAAAACAGGTGTTCCATTGTAGAAGATCCTCTCTCGTGCTTGGGGAAAAGGTTAATATATTCATGTTGGCATTTCTTTTCTGATCCAGTCACCATACCTCTAAATAGGAGAGAGAATTGAGGCTCAGAAGAAAATATCTCTCTAAGACCTCTGAGTGAACCCTCTCTCTCAACCAATAAGTAATATGCTTCTGGAAACCTTTTAATATTCCTGATATTCTGATGTAGTAAAACAAACAAACAAACAAAAAATTTTGCTCCTAGCTTATTAGAAGAGGCAAGCAGAAATCTTCCAAGCTTTACATGCAAATCTCAATTCAGACTCCTCTGCAGTTATCAGTGGAAGAATATAATTGTCAGCTATTTGTCCTTATATGTAGAGCTTCAAAGTCATGAAATAAGAAGGAAATAAACAAAAGGAATGAGAGAAAAAAATAAGTAAATCAATGGAAGTGAAAAAGAGATTATGAATATTTTAAAAACTAACAGGCCATAGATGTATTTGGAGTTTTATTTCACAACATTAGACTTAAAATTTTTTAAATAATGAAAGTTGTAATGTTATAGAAAGTTCCTATCACAGTATTTGCTATATGTAATCAGAATAATGGTTTTCCCTGAAGATAGCATTTTATGAAAAGCTTGATGGTTAAGCATTTAGAGAAGATGTTAGTCTTTTAAAACACGGGTAGTTTGTTCTCACAGTACCACTTTTGTCACTGCAGTCACGTGAAGAGTGGCAGTATGTCTTCCTGATCGCTGCCCTAGTCCATTATGGCGGAGTTATATTTTATGCAATATTTGCCTCAGGAGAGAAGCAACCCTGGGCAGACCCTGAGGAAACAAGTGAAGAAAAATGTGGATTTATCCATGAAGATGAGCTCGATGAAGAAACAGGGGACATTACTCAAAATTATATAAATTATGGTACCACCAAGTCTTACGGTGCCACAACACAAGCCAATGGAGGTTGGCCCGATGGTTGGGAAAAGAAAGAGGAATTTGTACAAGAAGACATACAAGACTCATACACCTATAAGGATCGAGATGATTATTCATAACAAAGCTAATTGCTGGATTTATTTTTAGTGTTTGTGATTAAGTTAATTGTGATTGCACAACAATTTTAAAAATATGTGGTGTAAACATGTAAACATATCAACCAGGCAAGTCTTGCTGTAAAAATGAAATCAAAACAAACTCATGAAGTTACCATCAAGTGCAATCTGTAGAAGTTGTGAAATTCCATCATTTCCATTCAGGTCATCTATTCTTGCGTTTGTGATATAAAGGTTGACTGGTCAAAACTATAGAAGCAAGTAGTTACTCATTGGTTTCATCTGAGCTAAAGCTCATCACCATTTAATGAAGCACAACTAAAACAGTTGGCACATTTCATCCTACAAAGGTTAGGAAGCCAAAGCTACTTTATCATGTAAAATGCACTTATATATTTGTTACACTGTATTGCGAGATCTCACACAGAAGTCCTGTTAAAAAAAAGTCAAGTTGTCATGCTGGCTGCATCAGATGTTGACAACGTTTATTGAGTGTAAATCATGAAGTTGGGATATCTCTCAATTAGAGAAGGATACTATAGGCTAGCAACTAGCAAGGTGTACTAAATAATTATTGTTATTACATAATGTGGAATATTTTGTTGGTTATCAAAAGGAATCTTGCAGTGTTTTATATCAAATATTTGGGCACAAACACTTATTCTATCTGAGAAAGAACTTGTAAAGTGAGGGGTATGCTTCACGTTCTTCCATTCATTTACCTAACAGTATACAACACTTCACATTTCAAGAAAATCTGACTTTTCATGTAGCATATCACATAACTTTTTTGCAAAAAATATAAAAAATAAATAGACTTCAATGTATTTTTTATTACAACTTTGTACAGGTTGTAACTTGCATTGGAAAAAAAATGCAATCACCATGAAGAATCTAATAAGAAATTTACTATGGAAATATAGCCCTGAAAATGCAATATTAACAACAAAAGAAATAAATGGTTTAGATATTCTTCTTCCTTAATAATTAAATACTATATGAAACTTGTGCCACAGAGCTATATATGTAATATAAAAATGATAAATTTAATAGAGAGACTGTAAGTAGACAATTTTATTATTTAAAGTCCCATTTAAAATATATTTGTCTTACATATATAGGACAATAAATTATATTAAAATTATATCTATATGTATCTATATATATCTGTATATCTTATACATATCCATACACAGAAACATAATAAACAATCTTCACAAAAAAAACAAAAATAGCATACACCTAATGTTGGGTTAGGGGACTGCAATTTCTACTTTCATAGAGTCATAGAATTTTAGATGGGGCAGAGGCACTTTGCTTGTCATTTCTTAATATAACTCAACAGGAATTGCAACATTTGTGTACCAAGCAATAAGTGCAATGCATACAATTTCCTGTCTGTATATTATCTTTATTTTGCTTGTGGTAGCTTTTCGGGTGGTTGGAATGATTTTTTTCTTTTAAAAAAGTGTTAACATCAGACCTCTTTATATTGTTCTAAAATGATAATAATGCATTTCCCAATTCAGCTCAAAATATTATTGGTGTATTTGTCTATTCTGGATATTTGATCTGTTCATTGTACTGTGCTAGTGACTGGAGGCCCTGCTACTGCAAATACAAAACATAAAAGTTTGTTTTAAAAATGCAAACCATCCTTAATCTTAAGGAAATAAAAATGTCTTTTGCTTTGTGTCTCAAAGTGATGTAATGTGATCATAGGCTTTTGTTGTGTTGAATGAAAAGATATGGACTATCATTTTATTGCTGCAAAAAAAAGTGTTAATAAAATGCTCTATTTATCCTTTTGTAAAAAACAATACATTAATTTGGGTTTATTTTGTTTAGATTGTAATTTGAATGTGAATATAGCTTGTGTATAGTCCAACAAAGCCACATCTAAGCCCAAGAGCAGCACTTTTTTTAGCTACTTGAGATTTAATGGAAGAACATTGCATTCTTTAGATTGTATGGGAGATGGTTGTGCAGAGAGGGTTTTACATCAAAAATAGGTCTTTGAGTCAAACTCTATTTTTCAATGACAGTTTTCTCACAGTTTCTGCTAAGCTTAAAGAAAAATTTAGGAAAAATCTCAAAACTTGTAAAGTCAATGATACTACCAAATTTTGACTACACACATACTTCGTGCTGGACACTGCGCTAACCATTTTATGTAGAGTATCTTATGTAACCTGCAATGACCCTCCAAAGTAGGTACTCTTTTTATTCTCAGATTACATATGAAGAAACTGAAGATCAGAAAAGTTAAATAACTTTCCCAAGATAAAATAGGGCAATGACATTATATCATAATGTGTCAGCCAAACCAGCCAGGAGTGAGCAAGATTTATCAAGGCAGCCAATCAAATGTCCATGTCACTAGAAAGGCAATAGTAGCTCAGATTCCCTACTTTATGGATGTGTAAAAAGGGGAAGCTATAACTATATAGCATCACAATCTGAGACTCTTAGAGCTTTCCTGCTCAGAGGGCTTATGGGATGATGTATTTGACCATTGTTTAACAAGTGAGGTCACTGAAGGTCAGTAAGAAAAACTGACTTGATCAAGAGGACACAAGATGTTATAGATTTGCAAAGAAGTTGCTCTGATTAGCTATACTTCTGTTTTTATTTTTTATTTTCATTTTAACCAGGTTTTTATTTAAGAAATTAGTTGAATAATATTTATTGCTTGCACCACTATCCCATACTCACCACTCACATAACCTGTGTGGGGTGGGGTGGGGAGATGTGGATGAGGGAGTATATTTTATCTTCCTTCATTCCTCTGCATAAAAAGATAATGGACAGAGACTAAGCCTAAGAGGCAGCTTATGTGCCATCTTTGTATAACTTGATGGCAGGAATGAAAATGTCTTGAATCTAACACTATATACGTAATTTCCCCAATTCCGTAACAAACATTTGCACTTTCTATAAGAAAAGTACTCTGATGATATCTCCTAATAACACCACTGGCCACACCCATTTTCTCTTTTCTCAATCATGCACAGCCATCTTCCCCTTCTTTTTTTTTGTCCCCCCTTTTCCCACATTTTCCACCTCATTCCAATGCCCATCCCCATCTGGTTCACTATATGTAGCTAGTATTTTGCAGTTTGCAAAGAGTTTTTCCATGCATTACCCCATTTCATTCACACATCTGCTTTACAAAATTGAAAGGCCACATGTTAATATTAATATTTCTATTTTCCAAATAAGGGGACTGGATCTAATAGGGTGTAATTAACTTCCTAAAGACTCCCCTAAACAGGTCTGGAACAAGAATACAAGCTATCTGGCCACAGCAAGAGAGTAATTTATTTTTACTTTTAAATCACTTTATTACTCTTCTGATTATAAATGTAGTATGGTTTGGGAGGGAACCTTCATTAGGTAAAGAACTGTATGGGGCCGGCCGAGTGGCACGTTGGTTAAGAGCTGGCTTGGAACGCCAGAGGACCCCGGTTCGGATTCCACATATGAGGGCCAGTGACACTGCCCTCCACAGCTAAGATGCCGAACAATAGCTCAACCTGGAGCTGAGTTGCCATGAGTCACCAACGACTGCGTAGGCTGCAGCCCCTGCTGCAGAGGGTTGCCATGGGCTACCATGTGTAGCCTGCAGCCATTGTGAGCGGCACTCATGCCGCTGTGAGCAGCCGTCCAGAAGCCGGCGACTGATCTGCCTCACCTGGGAAGAGCGCAATGATGGTGCCAACTTGGGCCAGAGAAGCAACGTCCTCCACAACTAGACTGAAGAACAAAAGGACAGCAACTTCTCTGTTCCCCTTCCCCCAATTCCCCAGCGCTGTTCCCATTCCCCAATTCCCCAATAAAAATCTTAAAAAAAAAAGAACTGTGTGAAAAACAATGAAAACAAAGGTAATTGGTAATCTTGATATTCAGAAATAATCACTGTTAAAAGATTTCGAGACTGTTTTCTATGAAAACCACATTTACTTCGTAATTTGCAAATTTGAAATCACACTTGATCTACTGTTGCAACCTCCTTTTTCCATTTAACAGTGTAGCATATGTATTTTCCTAGTTGAATAATAGAGTTTTATAGTCTCATACTCTATTACATACCATGAGCTATATTTAATGTATTTGTTTACCTAACACCTTACTTATGGACATTTCTTCTTTGCACCCTTTCCCCTTTATCTTTCTGCTTGCATGGATCTTTTTGGGCAATGCAAAGTGACATACACACCTTTAACCTTTCTAACCTTGATGAATATTTAAGTTACTATCTATAGTTTATCATTCCTGTGTTTGTCTGCAGTAGAGTATGACTGGCAATCGGCTTTTCTGGGGTTATTAATTCACTTATTCACTCAATAAGTGTATATTAAGCGCCTATACTGTGAATGTCACTGGGCATATAGACATGAGAAAACAGATCCAGTCTCTGCTCTTGGGGGTCCTCAAGTCCAGTTTGCTCCCTGAGGTGTCTGCAGCATGCGCCACTGTCTAGTCAGGCCTCACAGATGTGACTGAGAGAAGAGGCTCTTGGACCAGGGACCCTTGTTAACCTTCCTTAGATTTTTCATAATCCCTAACCTCCTAAAGCTGGGCTGCTTTCCAGGTCCTCCCCATGTTAATTTTGTTTTTTCCAGTTTCAGGTGAGGAAGCTTTTCTTAGCCTTAAAGATCCCCATGCTGCATGCAGGAAGTCTAAGCCTTGGGGGAAGATCAACATCAACTATCTCCAGTGCTTGAATCTCTGCAAGAGGGGAGATGGATGGCTGAACTTCTTAAGTGCATTTTGCATCCAGTTCTTCAAATTATTTTCTGTTTCTGTTTCTCCCCTAGATTTCTAAGGACCCATACGTTTTCTCTTCCCACTTTCCCCCCTTTATCTACCCGCTGCCTCCCTCATTTTAACCACAAATAGTGGCTACTGAGGTTTCATTCTTCCTGTAGTGATATAATTATCAGGATTTGATTTTTAATTTTTTTTCTTTTCTCTCCATTCATGCAAGACCTCAAACCTGAATTTTCATTCAGCTGCTGTCAAAAATACTTTATTTATGAAGGTTGGCTTGTACTATTCAGTCTCTTAAAATGCTCAAACTTCTTTGAGCTTCCCCTCCCCCCCCCCCGGAGTGCAGCCAAGCACCTAAAAGCTGCATAACGTGGACATATTCCTCTATCCTTTATCCAAATTCAGCAGCTTTTCTTGAGTGAAACCCTCAGCTTTCACCAAGAGCAAACAAAATGAAGAGACCGCTCCAGTTTTGTTAAATCACGTTGGAGGACCTGTTTTATTACTGTACTCAATATGCAGTAGATAAAGATCCTTGCCTTTCTCATAGTTTGGGGCATGAGAGCTTTCCTGATGCAGTAGAACTCTACCAACAATTAGGTATGAAAGGACGCGGGCCACCATGTCCTACCTTGTCTCCTTCTCCAGGAACTTAGAGACCCACTTTTTGGCTCAGTTGCTGTTTTTCTCTCCTGTCCTCATTTTTATTTTGTTCCTGTTTTTCATTGTTTGTTTGTTTAGATGTTACCTTTGATTTAATTTTAAAGGAGGAAGTGAATGAGGGATCCTGTAATAATTACAGCAATCATTTTTTATAAGACTTATGAAATGCCAGACACTGTTCTCAGGGTTTTATATAAAGAGGGTGCCAAAAAAAATGTATACATGTCTTAAGATAACATTTTTTTTTAGCTGAGCCATCCTGCTACCTGTTGGCAGCTCAGCGGCTGTTCAGCTCGGGCTGGGACTCGAACCGCTGTTGCTCAGAGCTCAAACTCTTGAGCGAGCTCTTAACCAATTGAGCCACTCAGCCGGCCCTAAGATAACATCTTTTAAAACGTGTATACATTGTTGGCACCCATGGAATACATATTTATGATTTATATTTTATAATATACTTATATATTTATATGATATATACACATATACAATTTAATCTTCAGAGTAACCCTTTGTGTTAGATACTATTGTTAACTCCCTTTTATAAATGACGGCACTTAGGCACAGGAAAGTTAAGTAACTCATTCAATGAGTTACAGCTAATGGAGTAAAGTTAGAATGTGAACATGAGCCTTTCGGTTCCAGATCCTGTACTCTTCAT